TGTAACTGTTATGTCTATATTGTACAATTATTATTACTTTGATGTCGGTGTCAGCCGAGGTAAGCAGTGATATTTCTACGTAAGGGTTTCCACATTTTTAATCGAAAATCGCATTTAAAAAAATTCTCCGTCTGTTCGAAAGCTGCGTTTGTTCCGGGTAATCTTCGAAACGGCAGACTTCACTGAAGGATATCTGACAGACGGGCATATTATAGGCTACTTTTTTAATTCCGCGCTGTCAAAATGGCGACCGGACCGCTCTCCCTGGAACGGGTGGATTTGGACGGGACTTTGAAAGATAGCTGGTAGGAGGAAGATGCACGCGGACATATGATAGAAGTTTGCTGGCGACTGCTCTTTCAAATATAAGTAATCAACCAACACGCAGTTGTCCAGCGTGATTGACTAAAGCCACCCTTAACTTGTAAACTTAGAGACTGGGGATGCAATCTATACTATTATAATAAAGTGTAAACACACACTTCTTTGTTGCCTAAGATGTCAGCAATTACAGAATTTTTTATATAATTCTTTTTTTTAATAAAACTTACGTCAGGCTTTGGGCTATATATTTTCACGCCAATAAACTTAGGGGGTAAATGTTTTGGGTAAAAACCCTAATGTGGGAAAGAGACCATAACTTGCTGCCAACATCGAGGAAACAAGTTTGCCAAGGTTTGTCATGTCATGTCAGTTTGACATTTGCTATTGATAATTAGACAGATGTAAACGATAAAATAAAATTTTCATAATTTTATGCGGATGAAGTCGCATGTGAACAGCTAGTAAATTTATAAAAATAACTTAGAACCTTTGTCTAAATCAAACTTCAAACATCAATTCTTTTGAATAAATCTTAAAACCCAAAGTTCTTGCATAAATCTTTACTAGTGCGAAACTTTCTTTCGGATTCAGAAATTCGTTGAAAAAGATTTACTTTGACGCCTCAGCCAATGTCGGATATAAGAAAATCAATTCCTTTACCGTATTCGAGATTTTAAAAAAGTTTTCATATATTCAACGAAAAATAGTAAAAATAGAAGGGATGGATCGCATGTAACAAGACGGACGTTAGTTATGAGTGTGGAGGTACACCGGTAGAGGTAGACCTAGAAAGAGATGGATGGATTGCGTGAAAGATGACATGATCAAGAAGGGAGTGATGACTGAAATGACGGATGATAGAGTGCTTTGGAGGACGAAAACCCCTTGCGCCGACCCTACGGGAGTAGGATAAGGCAGTGGAAATGATGATGATGACCGAAAAATAGTAAATTCGGTAATTTTATAATCTGTCTAATTGTCCTGAAATTTCAATTTATAGTATAGTAAACTAGCTGTTGCGACTTCGTCCGCGTGGTATTATAAAACATAGGAACTATATAAATAACTAAAAGCTACTTATCCCTCGGGAACCGGACATTTCTCGGGGATAAAGCTTATCCCATGTCTACTCCAGACTTTGTCTTACATCTGTGCCAAATTTCAATACGATATGTTGAACCGTTGCAGAATGATCGAGTAAACATTAAAAAACTAAATTAATGAATCCCACGGGAACCGTAAGTATTCCTGGGATAAAAAGTAGCCTATGTGTTCTTCCAGACTATGCTCTAAACATGTGCCAAATTTCATCGAGATCCGTTCAGCAGTTTAGGCTACAAACGCTAGCAAACATCCATCTAAACTTTCGCATTTATAATATTAGTGTGATGTGATTATTTATATGATTCATTAATAGACATAAATTTATTAATAGGGATTATCAGCAAAGACTTAACTCTCCATAAAGCTTTTAAAACTATCTTAAAACTCTAGTTCATAAATCTCTTAGCAATCGTCTGTAAAGTTTTCTCTCAAAAATAGATTTATAGATAGAGTTTCCTCAAAAGCATTCAATGAAAACGCAGACAAAAGGAAGTTTTAATTTTTCATAGATAAAAATACAAATCAAACTAGCTGTTCCCGTGCGACTTCATCCGCATAAAATTATGAAAATTTTATTTTATTGTTTACATGTGTCAAATTATCAATAGCAAATGTCAAAATGACATGACGCTGACAAACCATGACAACCTTGATTTCTTGATGTTGGCAGTAACTTATGGTCTCTTTCCCACATTAGGGTTTTTATCCAAAATATTTACCCCTAAAGTTTAATGGCGTGAAAAAATATAGCCTAAAGCGTTTTAGTGTAGGGCTTTTTATTAAAAAGAGAGTTATTAAAAAATATGCTGTAATTGCTGACATCTTAGGCAACAAAGAAGTGTGTTACGCTTTCTTATAATCGTGTAGATTAGTTTTCGCCCGCCCTCCGTCTGCGTAGAATAAAAAAAAGTGAGTAGCCTACATGTTGTTACAGACCATCCTCTACATCTACATATACTACATATACTAAATTTCATCGAGAACCGTTCAGCAGTTTAGACTACAAACTCTAACAAACGTCCATCTAAACTTTCGCATTTATAATATTAGTAATTAGGTGTTCAAGGAGTTTTTACACGTTTTTAGAATCAAGTCATTAGAAAAGAAGAAGAAATTAAATTATTTAAAATTAGAACACATTGACGACGTCATCACTTTTTTCTAGTCTTCTTCTGTACATATTTTTTCAATACACATGTCTCCGTTAAAATAGTTTTATTTCTAAATCTTTTACGATATACATTAGGCGTACATCTTTGTTTAAATTATCGCACAACTGTGATTGTCGATTGTTTCGCAGTCAACTGTTTAGTTGCACAACTGAGTACCTCCATATAAGCTGATAACAGAGCGAGACTAGAAAGTTGTGCGATTTAAAGGTGTGTTCGAACTTTTATATTTATAATGTTAAAAACACGTAAATACTGTCGACGTTAACTGACATGTTCTTTGATGCAATCTGTCAAACTTTCCCGCCAAAACAAAATGGCGCTGACATTAATTACATCACACGCTTTTACTTTTATAACGTTAAATATGGATAAATCTATATTATTACTAGCTTTCGCTCGCGACTCCGTCCACGTGGAATTGAAAAAAAAAACAAAAGTGAAGTCTATGTGTTCTTCCAGACTATCTTCTACATCTTTGCCGAATTTCATCGAAATCCATTCAGTCGTATAGGCTACAAACTCTAACAAACATCCATCCATCTAAACTTTCACATTTATAATATTAGTAAGATTATAAAGAGGAAAGATTTGTATTTTTGTATGTATTGAAATATCTCAAAAACTGGGACAAATTCAAAAATTCTTGCACCATTAAAAAGGTATGTTATCCGTAACATGGGTTATCTTTTTAATTTCACGCGGGCGAAGTCGCGAGTAACAGAAAGTTGTTAATGTTGTTTTAAAGCTTGGTTTTTACATTAAACGATTTTTTTATATCGTTTAAAGAATTAACTGTGTAGACAATGTTACAAGAGAATATCATTGACACATTAAAAACAAGAAAACTCGCTGTCATCTGTACTATCTGTACTATTATAATAAAGCGTAAACACACACTTCTTTGTTGCCTAAGATGTCAGCAATTACAGCATATTTTTAAATAATTCTTTTTTTAATATAAAGCCCTACACTTATTCACGCTTTAGGCTATATGTTTTCACGCCATTAAACTTAAGGGGTAAATATTTTGGATAAAAACCCTAATGTGGGAAGAGACCATAAGTTGCTGCCAACATCAAGGAAGCAAGGTTGCCATGGTTTGTCATCGTCATGACATTCTGACATTTGCAATTGATAGTGTGACAAATGTACAAAATAAAAATTTCGTAATTTTATGCGGATAAAGTCGAATGAAAACAGCTAGTTTACTATAAAACTATTAAGCAATCACTTGTTTTATAATTAAACTAAATTTCTAGTACAAAAAAAACGTAGTCTATCTGTCAATGTTACTTATAGCCGGTTTCCCAGTTAAATCTAACCATTCGTATTAGATACGAAAATTTCATGAAATGTGTCTCCGAATGTAACTTGAGTTTTACTACGTTAAAACTTAGTTTCACTTAACACTAAGGTATCTAAGTCACTATAAAAATGATTGGAAACTTCAGAAACCCAGTATTAGACAGATTACAATTCACTAAATTATACATTTTACGGTGACATTTAAAAAGTGACAATATTAAAACTAAATACAAGACAAATCTCTTTCAATAAATTCGTATAACTTTAGGGGTAGTTTGGACCGTACGTCTACCCTTGTCTAGAAAAGGGATGCATTGATTTCCTCGTTACAATAAATTGTTCAGTAATACGTGAATATTGAAAACAAAAAGGTATTGCATTTTTCATTGTTTTTATATTAAAACTAGCTGTTCCCGTGCGACTTTATCCACATAAAATTATGAAAATTTAATTTTATTATTTACATATGTCAGATTATCAATTGCAAATGTCAGAATGTCATGACGGTGACAAACCATGGCAACCTTGCTTCCTTGATGTTGGCAACAACTTATGGTTAACCCACATTAGGGTTTTTATCTAAAATATTTACCGCCTAAGTTTAATAGCGTGAAAATATATACCCTAAAACGTGACGTAAGTGTAAGGCTTTTTATTAAAAAAAGAATTATTCAAAAACTAGCTAACGCCCGCTACTCCGTCCGCGTTAAATTAAAAAAAAACAAAAGTGATTAGCCTATGTGTTCTTCCAGAATATCCCCTATATTTGTAACAAATTTTATCGAAATCCGTTCAGCAGTTTAGGCTACAAACTCTAACAAACATCCATCTAAACTTTCACATTTATAATATTAGTATGTTATGCTGTAATTGCTGACATCTTAGGCAACAAAGAAGTGTGTGTTTACTCGTTATTATAATAGTTTAGATGTAGATAGCCATGTGGGCTACTTACTTTTGTATGTTTAATTTACACGGACGAAGACGCGGGCGAAAGCTAATTATAATTCACAGCTAACGGAGGGATCCCATTATCTCTATATTCGACTTGTTAATGTTGCTTGGTCATAATAGATTCTTTTCTTTTAATTGCAGATGACGGGCCGCGGTTCCTATCTCGTGGTCATTCGTTCAGGACAGTGGTGGGAGACACTTTGCTGCTGCCTTGCCAGGTCCAAAACTTGGGTAAGTGTGATGTATTCAATCTATATAGTTTGTTCAATCTACGAGGTTATTTTTCATTATCTTACTCCAATATATAAACAACTAGCTGTTCCCGTGCGGCTTCATCCGCATAAAATTAAGAAAATTGTATCTTGTCAAAATAACATGACATGATGACAAACCATGGCAACCTTGCTTCCTTAACGTTGGCAGCTCGTAACTTACGATCTCTTTTCCACATTATGGTTTTTATCGAATTTATTTAACCCCTAAGTTTTATAGCGTGATAATATATAGCCTAAAGCGTGACGTAAGTGAAGGGCTTATTATTCAAAAAATATGCCGTAATTACTGACATCTTACGTCACAAAGAAGTGTGTGTTTACGCTTATATTAGTATAGATAGAATATTCATAATTTCATGGGGATGAAGCCGCATGGTAACAGCTCTTTGATAGTGCAAGGTCAGATAAGTCACATTGTCGTCTCTTCTCAGGTTCCCTAGTGTTGCTATGGAGACGCGGACCCGCTGTGCTAACTGCTGCCAGTTTGATGGTGACGAGAGATGAGAGGTTCAGACTTGTAGATGGGTACAATTTGCAGATAACTGATGTTGGGCCACAGGTAATGTATCTCTTACTTCTTACTAATATTATAAATGCGCGAGTTTAGAAGGATGGATGTTTGTTAGCGTTTGTAGCCTAAACGGCTGAACGGATCTCGATGAAATTTGGCACAGATTTAGAGCATACTCTGGAAGAACACATAGGCTACTTTTTATCCCAGGAATAGTTACGGATCGCGTGGGATTTATTAATTTAGTTTTTTAATGTTTACTCGATCATTCTGCAACGGTTCAACATATCTTATTGAAATTTGGCACAGATATAAAGTCTGGAGTACACATGGGATAAGGTTCATCCCAGAGAATTGTCCGGTTCCCGAGGGTTACGTAGCTTTTTGTTATGTAAATAGTTCGTATATTTTCTTATACCACGCGGATGAAGTCGCGGGCGACAGCTTGTTTGTTATATATCAAAAACATTTAAACATATAGATGAGGTGAACTAGATTTTTTCACCTGTACTTTCTCTTAAAGGTACTATGTTAGTTGTCAAGTTTAGTAGCCGCTCGTGTATTGACGGTAATAAAATATTTTAGTAAATAATAATAAGCTCTATCTGTACTATTATTATAAAGAGGAACTACGATCGGATTCCATCCTTCCGTAGTTGATGTACCGTGTGTTCGAACGAAAATGTTTCAATCATCGTTCCTTGTGCGCACTGCAAAGGATTGGAACATGTTGCCGGCATCAGTTTTACCGTCCAAATATGACGTGGGGGCAAAGGCGAGTGGAGAGTTACCTATAAAACTAGCGCGTACCATCTTTCGACTGTATCGTTACTTCCTTTAGGTGTGATCGTGGTCAAGCGCGAGTTTAACAAATAATAAAAAAAAACATTTGTATTTTTGTATGTATTTGATTTACATTTTAATATTTTTTATGGAATAAAATTAATTAATTTGGCATATGGTTTTGAGGATTTACTAATAGATGGCGTTAGTGAGAACCACATATGTGAAAAATGTTTGAAGTAACGTGTGAATTTTTGATTTGTATTTTTTACAATCTCTGTTTAAAATCTAATACGCGGTTCACTCTTCGCTGGTACATTTAGACAGTTGCGCTAACTGGACTATCAATTGGACTGTAACTTTAACTGGAACCAGTAACTTCATACAATCTTTGACTGCCTGTTACAATTGTCTTTGTCGAGTGTGAACCTTTACTAAAGTTTTACACTAACACGTAATTTAAAAAATCAAGAAATAAATAAACTTTTTAATAAAAAAACAAAACCGACTTCCAAACAAAATGCACTAAAAACAAAACAAAATACACCAAAAA